GTCAAATTCTCTAGTTGGATGGATTATGAGATTAAAACCTTTTGTAAACATTTTTTTGAAAATAATAATATAATATATAATTATATTTTGCAAATTAGATTTCAAATACAATTGAAATCCATTGTCGATAGTTTACCACCAGAGAGTATAAACCTTGATATTTGTTTTTGGTAACAAAGGGGCTAGTCCTATCACTATAATCACCCAATTAGATAAATTCTCCAATTGCTCTAACATGCCCAACTATTCGACCCTTGATGGATATCATTGGTTGGCGTATCAAAAGCAATACAATCTAAGACTTAATGTAGTATCATAATCAAGTCTCGGTTAAGTGCAACTTTCCAATTTTGCCCATCTATCTCTAGGGTCTAGGGCATAACTAAAAATTGGTCAATGTTTAGTGTTTATCCAAACACACACTAATTGTGCTTGGGGTTTAACCTTAGAAATTGAGACAAACTGTTCCACCAATTCGATAGCACACTAGTATTAACATTGTTAAGATAAATTCCCCAAGCTTATCCAATGGATATAAACATTTTAAATTATTACAAGTCTTATAAGTATCCATTTTAAAGAGTAATTCACAAAAACACACCAATTAAACATAAAAGAATAATGTACTTATGTTTTTGATATGTTTATGTATGTCAATCTGATTGGATCGGATAACATAAACTGTGTAACAATATGGTAAGAAGGTATTGACATGAATGTACTTAAAATTTTAAATCATATAACCATGGTTTTTAAAAATGAACCAATGATCGAACCGATCAAGGGTCCGGTTACTGGTTCTAGGGCTGTTCATAAGAAGGCCCAACCCAACCAAACCGATCAACCCAGATCGACCCAACCCGAGTCGAATGGGTTTTCATCAGCACCGGTCGGTTTCGAGTTGTACAAATTCATAAACCGATGGTTCGGATCGATTTCGGTTTTCTTGTGTGAAAACCGAAACCGACCCGAATTGAGCTGACTTATTTCCTACTTAACTATTTAAATATATATTTTGATTTTAAATTAAATCGACCTAATCTATTTAAATATATATTTTGATTTTAATTTAAATATATTTTATATTTAAAACTATTAAATAAAGATATTTCAGTTTTACATTAAAACTCAAATATTTGACAACCCAAACTTGCACCACACAGGCACATAGGCCATGGGGGGCATGGATGAACTTAGAGCCGAAACCGACCCAAACCGACCCAAACCGACCAGGTCGGTTTTGCTTAACACTAGGTTGGTTTCGATTTCCATCTCAGGTAACCCGGACCAGGTCGGCTCGGTTGGAAAAACCTCAGTAAATCGACCCAACCTGACCGGTGAACAGCCCTAATTGGTTCGAACGGTCCGACCATTTGACCCGACTGAATGGCCGGCCCATTCTGACAAAAAAAATAAAAAAATTAATAAAATTAAAAAAAATTGAAAAACGATCAAAACCGTTCGAATGGTTAACTGATCAGTTCAGCGGTTTATTAACCAAAATCAACAGTTTTGGAGGAAAACAAAACCAATCAAATGACCAATTCTCAATTTTTCCAGTCTAACTGTCCGGTCCAGTCCAGTTTTGAAAACCATGCATATAAATACCTCTATGAAAAAGTTTGAACAAATATGGTTATAAATTATTATCATGAGCGGAGGATGGCCAATCTTCCTTAAAAGGATCTTTGGTAACTCAACTTTGAGTGGGTTATGTTGTAACTCACTCAAAAGAGCTCATGAACGCGCGTCCTCTACAGGAAGAAAGCTATTTATCTTGAAAGACACTTCACATTCCACGGAATCGTCATTGTAGCCTTTGTTATTATCAATAGGGTTAGGGAATGAAGCGGCCCACTTGGCTGCGTACATTAGTTTTCAGGCCCCAGGAATGTTGATTTCTTGCCCTCTTCCGTGGCTGTCTGATGTGATTTCTAGAGACAATAATGCTTGTGGAAGTGGTTCTGAGAGGCAACCTCCCTGAGTCAGGTCTTGTCATCTAATCAGCCGATGAATTTTGTAGTTTTCTTTTTGTTTTTTTTTTGACTGTTTTTCTCTTTTCTTTAATGGATTTCTCTTAATTTGCTCTTATTAAATTAAAGCGAAACTTTATTTTGTAAGCATTCTTTAATCAATCAACATAAGATGGTAATTTTAAACTAATCAAAATTGATATTTGGACCACAATACCATAAAGTTAAACAATATTAAGTGGTGGTTCAATCAAATATCAATTATCGACCAAGATCGTTACAGTTTTCTAACGTGACCGAGACCATATATGGGCGAAAAATATATAAGTAGCGAGCCACGAAGCAAGCTCGGGTGACACCGATGGGTGAAAGCTGGTCCAGCAATCAGCTGGGTTCAAGCCCAAGCATACGATCAGGTAAGTGAGAAAAGCCAGCCCCAAGAAAAATTTTCAAGCGTTAATTATTAAAAAGCATGGTTTTTAAAAATGAACCGGTGACTGAACCGGTTAGAGATTCGGTTACCAGTTCGAACCGTCCGACTGACAAAAAAAATTAAAAAATTTTAAAAATTAGAAAATGGTCAAAACCGTTCTAGTGGTTTGAATGATTAATCGGCCGATTCAGCAGTTTATTGATCAAAATCTACGGTTTTGGAGTAAAAAACGGTTTTGAAAGAAAACAGAACCGATCAGGTGACCGGTTTCTGGTTTTTCCGGTCCGACCGTCCAATCCGGTCCGATTTTAAAAGTAGTGTTAAAAAGAAAAATACATATGTGCAATTGGGTCCGGGTCAGCCAAATGCCAATCGGAAAAAGAGTTGAAGGTCAGATTAGGGATAGGATTGAAGTGTTGGGTAGTATGACCCAATTCAAACAACCGAGTTCGCACTGCCTAACTTGTACCTTTATCCCTAATATAAGAAGCAAAGAAATTTTCAGACCTTACTCCACCCAATCCGGTAGAGGTGTAATCTGGCCATGCTGCCCACGGCCCAACACAACGGATTGTGCTCACGACACCACTGAGAGGGTCATGCCACTCGTAGCCCACGTGCCGGCACAGCCTAGCCCGTGGATCAATATATTATATATATATATACTAATTATATAATATATAAATATGTATAATTTTATTTTCAATTTTATGAAATTATTTTATATATAAACAATGTTGTATATATCAAAATTCATATAAAATAAAATTTTAAGATTATTTTTATTTTTTGCTTATTTTTTAATTTATGTTAAAATTTTCATTATTATTTTTTTTAATTTTTAAAAGAATATGACTTGATTGAGTTTGCGGCCTGGCCTAGCCCAAAGCTCGGCCCACAGCACGGTACGGGCCCGTGCAAACTAACTCCCCAAAATATCCCAAAGAAGAGAAACATGGTCCAACTTGGCCTATGGGCCAGCACAGAATGGTCCGCACCTTGCATGGGCCTCATGCAGACTGGGCCGTGCCATGACGGTCCAATACTGCCTGATTTACACTTCTACAACCCGACCCGACTTGCCCCTCTGTATCTGATGGTCCAAAAGGCAATGGGACCATGAGACAAGTCCATGGTATGGTCCCCAAACATATATGGAAGTGCATGATATGTTCTAATGGGCATACATTATACATGCATCTACCCATATTTATCATCAAACTCGAGAAATACAATGTATGTACATATGCTAGGTCGATGTTGCAGTTACAATCAGGAAGGAGGTAGTATAGTACCCAACAAAGTAACAGCCAAAGAAAGCTATCTATTATCCCAACAGGGTGGAGAGTGGCTATTAAATAGTAGGGAAAAGGATGAGTAGAGGAAGGAACTTGGGCTTGAATGTGGATGATTGCTATGATGTAGTTTTCGAGGGGAAGCTAGTTGGTCACATGGATTCGCCTGCAGGAGGGTCTGACAGCTCGGACCATGGACCAAATTCGACCACCTCACCAGTCACCCTTCTTACAGCCGTCCTTATCAACCCATAAAGAAATCACTCTCAATGTTCATAACCGGTTCAACCTTTTTGATCGTTTGTTTATACTTCAACAATTTCCCAAGCCCCCAGATAGAATTTCCACTTTTCTTTTTAGTTTTTAGCCCATCGGGAATATCACTGTTTACACAACAACAAGATAAATGTAATTTTCTGGGTTGGGGTGGTGAGATGCTGCGTTATGATGTGTTTGAATTTTCACTGGATGCAGCCAGAGCCAGTGATGCTTTTATTCTTATTTACTAATTTCTTCTATCAATCATGGTGACTTGACACCGACCATGTTGTTGTTGCAGTTTTCATAGAAGCATGAAATGATGTAGACTGTAGTAGATTATTATTAGTTTTATGTTAAGGGAACTGGGTTTTGGTTTAGAGATTGATAACTAGTTAGTTGGGTCGGGATCAGATGTAACTAATATTGTAATGGGTTGGCCTCAATTCATGAGCGATGTTGAAGCTTTGATCTCTCTCTCTCTCTCAATGAAATTGTATTCTGATATTCTCTCTAGCTAATTACTTATTTTAATTCTGGTTATGTATTGGATGGGTAAGGGTTGTTTTTGTTGGGACATGGGTAATTAAGTTTCTGTGCTTGAAAACATGAATGAATGACTAAACCAACACACCGCTAATTAATAAGGATGCAGAGAATGTAATCAAATCAAACAGTTGGATTCATCTAACAGGTATGACCCTTGGGTAGAGATAGTAATGTGTGGAGATGGTTGTCTAACTGTTATTGGATAAAAATCAACTTCTATGAATTGCAGATACATGGTATATTTTCTCTTTTAATTATTTATATTTGTGAGAATCCAGGGTACGTGGGACAGTGATTTCTTGCCAGCCCAAGAAATGATTTAATTGTGAAGAGTAGCTTTTACCAGCTTGTTTTCTTGTTTTTATGCATATTTCTATATAGATTTTGGGTCCCCACCTTCAAGTCCAGAGACTGTCTCAGTGTTGACAGGATCTATGAAATTGGGAAACCAAAACCCAAAAGGGTGATGGGAGCCTCTTCTTTTTTTTTTTTTCCTCACTTTTTGAAGCAGAAAAGCACAATTCCTTTTACTGGCCCTCTCACGTGCACCCTCTATCATCTCTCTCTCTCTCTCTCTCTCTCTCTCTCTCTCTCTCATCCTACCCTAACACTCTAACCTTTCTCTCCTCTTCTCACTTCTTATCAATCTTCATATCTCCTCATCACTCCCCACTTCATTCATACCTCTCTCTCCGTTACCCATGAAAAGTTGGTTTTCTATTAAATTTCTGTAGTCTCTTTCAAGATCATTAGTCAAGAGAGAGTTATTTGAAGTGTGTGATTAATTAGTAGAGTGAGTGAGAGCTATTTGAAGGCAATGGCACTAGAGGCACTTTCATCCAATGATCTCTCCAACTTCATCACCTATGACGCCTTATGTTCTGCTCAGCACTACAGCCATGCTCCTCCTTTAGATACAAGTTCGGTCGACGACAAAATCATCTCTGACGGGGTCAATAAGAGCCTGCATTTCGGTCGTTTCCGACCACCGGAACTCCACCCCACTTCCGAGGAGTCTTCTCCCATGATTCGCCGGAACCTCCTGGCATTAGAAACCGCCGACGGAAGGCCGAATTCAGCCACAACTACACAGGGCCGAAAGAAGAGAAGAAGAAGGCCGAAGGTTTGCAAGAATAAAGAAGAAGCAGAGACACAAAGGATGACACACATCGCTGTTGAACGAAACCGCCGGAAACAGATGAACGAGCACCTTGCTGTTCTACGCTCTTTGATGCCAGAGTCCTACATACAAAGGGTATCGCATCCTTAGTCCTTCTCATATTCTCTCTCTCTCTCCGTTGAATTATGTTCTCCGGTATATATTCTAGTTTCATTTTATTAATTTTCTCTCTTTTTCTTTTCTACCAAGTTTAATTTTCATCTGATGACCACCTAATGCTAATCTTGTCTGTCCTTTGAGTTTTGAGCCTATGAGGGGCTTATCCTGTACATGAATGGATGAAAATCAATATTATAATACATCCCTTTCCATTTTCAGGTTAATATTAATAATTAAAAATGTGAAATGTCTCATGCAGTCATGACATTGTGTGATGAGTTTTTCCATTGTATATTGAACGAGTGCATGCATGATGGTTGTTGGGGCAGCAGTTCAGGAGTCTTGGTAAGAAGAGAAAGTATTGGAGAAACGGAATTCAGAAATTGAGCTTTGGATTTGGAATCCCAACCTGGAAGTTTGGGCCTTTTTTGATTGTTGCTCATGATCAGTAGCTAGCTAGACTGAAAATGTGTACCAATTACTTTGTGGGTTTGTGTCCTCATTTTCAAGTGATCCAACATAATTACATGACGGTATTGTATATATATAATGTATCAGTTGATTAGACTATAAAATCATATATGTTAGACACAGTTTATTATATTTAATAATAACTGGTACCTCAAGCTTGGAATATATATGCATTACAACTACAGAACTAGGTAGTAGAATTAGTAAAATATATATATATACTTCAGTCGTGGTCAAGTATATCTACTCAATCTCTTCAGTGGGTTATTTTTTTAATGTGTTTCACTTACTCATTTATCCTTGTGCTGACTGACTGCTTCTGAACTAATGAGAAAGGGGACTGATGAAAATTTTCTTTTCAGTTCCTTTACCATTTCTTTAATCAGCTTTACATTTGATTTGGTACAGTCTTATTGAAATAAGACATTGCAGACGTTCATAAATAAATAGTATATAGGGTTAACAGGTTTTTTTAACAAATTAAAAGGGTCATTAATTAGGGAACTTTTTTATAATGATCAGTATCAAGACCGTAAACTCTGAGAAGAAGAAAGGAATCTCTTAGCTTATTGTAAATTGGGTTTTGGTGTAGGGTGACCAAGCTTCCATAGTGGGTGGCGCTATAGAGTTTGTGAAGGAGCTTGAGCAACTCCTACAGTTCCTTGAAGTCCAAAAGCGCCTACTGCAACAAAAAGGACCCCTGAAAAGCAGCAGCAGCAACAACAGCATCAACTTTTTCCCACCTCCCTTCTCGCAGTTCTTCACCTACCCTCAGTACTCTTGGTGCCAAGCGCCAAGAGAGTACCCACAAGAGAACAGATCGTCTGTCGCGGATATCGAGGTTACATTGATTGAGACCCACGCCAACCTCCGAGTCCTCACGCAGCGCAGACCCAGGCAGCTCTTAAAAATGGTCCTCGGGTTCCAGACTCTCCGCCTCACTATCCTTCACCTCAATGTCTCCACCTTAGATTCCTTTGTTCTCTATTCCTTCAGCGTCAAGGTATGTATATATATGATGAGTGTGCATGATGATGTCTGCATTTGTTCATGTATTTGCAGAATTTATGTCTATATATATTCACCATCTGGAGATGCCATAGAGACTTGATCAGAGCAATTTGCAATAGTTTGGGTTTTAGTGTAGGAAATTTCCAAACACAGAGAGGAACCAGAGTACCATTGAAGTGGTTGAGGCTTATAGCATCCACCAAAAGATAGAAAAATTAGCCTGGATAGGTAGGAGTAAGAGATTAGAGAGAGGATTCATTAATTAAATACCCAATCTGAATTGGGAATGTTAGAGAATAAAACTTATCCGGGGACTTCACCTAATGGCTTAAGCTTTTAGGTTGATCAGTTCTTTGAGATGGTATTAGAGTTCGTGTTTGTTCACACTTTTGCGTGAGGAATTAGGCATGTTAAAAGAATAGAAACCTATTCAGAGACCTCACCTAATATTGATTAAGTATTTATGTTTAAGGTGTTAGATAATAAACTAGGATGGAATCATGGAATAGAAATAGTGAGAGAGAGAGAGAGAGAAAGAACTAATGGCCTCAGTAGTGACTAGCGAGTAGTAACAGATCCAAAGAAGGAGCTCTTGTCAGTTTATACGTGTGGTAGTTTACCAATCTCCATCATCCTGGTAGAAAAAGAAGGTGACAGGGTAGATGATGTTGATACATCAAAAGAGATGTTTCAACCTCTTTTACAACATTTTTCATCTTCTGGCAGTGATCCTCCTTTATGGCAACACCCTAAATTTGGATGGGTTTGGCTTTTGGGCGCCTAGAATTCTGATTAATGAACATTCTCATTGCAGGTGGAGGAAGGATGCCACCTGACATCAGTAGACGACATAGCCAGCGCTGTGCACCACATGCTCAGAATGATTAACGACGAAGCTGCTCTAGCCTGCTGAGAGAGAGAGAGAGAGAGCAAAATCAAACACACCACGATACGTACCCTTGGAACTGAAGCATAATCACGAAAATGCCTCCCCTTTTCTTGTTCAAAATTCCCCAGAAGTTGACCAAGTGTTGAATTAATTACTAGTTTTCATTCGTCTTGTATGTAGCAAATCGATCGATGGTCATATATATATAGTTGTGTTTGATTGTTAATACCTCTTTTTCTACTATTTAAGATCGAAATTACACGAATGAGCAACTAGACTAAGTCGACAGCAAATTAAAGATCAATTACCAGGGCAAACTCTAGTGCTGAAATTTAATTTTCTATATTCCTCACACCCGTTAGATTCAATGTTTTTAATTTTCCTGTAAAAAAGCATAGGAAGATCCCAAATTGCTATTTGAAACAATTAATTGTAATCGAGAAATAATAAGTAATTATGTTATTGATTTTAAGAACATTGATGATGACATTGAGACAAGAATAAATGAAGTCATCATTCACAGAAGGTTACTTTTCTTGCAGTAAATGAGAAAAAGAAGAATTTGAGTATTGCAACATAATTAGAAGCTATTAATGGAGAGGAAGAGGATAAACCTGGTGTTTTTCTTAACTTAGAAAGGAATTAATGTAATTATTTTTACAATTAGAAATTAAAGTTGAATAGTGAGAACTGTATGAAAGTATTGCAATAAGATGTGAATGGTAGAGGACCAGACCAACCTATTCGCCGGCATCTGACTTGAAAATTAGAGAGTAAGACCATTTTCCTACAATTAGCACTCACTTTATAGAAGATGTTTGTTTTTCATAGCCTTTCTTACAAGCAGCCATGCACCAGGGAAAATCTATTTCCAAGAAATGATTTGTTTTCCTTGTTTATCTACAATCTAAACAGAGCATCTTTGCCTTATTCCAAATTGTTGCTGTTAAGGATGGGGCCAAGGGCAACAAGATAACTTCGCTTCTGGCCAAGGCTAATGAGTCCAACCTAAGAGTAAGAGGAGAGCATACGTCAGAGGCCCTAGGTGTTATTCCAGGGGTGGAGACTCCAACGGTCAAGTTATCCAAGTGCTTAAGAGGGGTTGGACCAGGCTTAAGACGAGGACTTGGACTTAGACAATGTCACTCGAGAGCAGGAAAGCTAGGGAGCAAGAATAAGCAAGATGGATTTACCTTAAGCTAGGCACCCCCTTTTATGCTTGACCTTGCCATGGAGTGGTTAGGGGCAATTAGACTTGAATGGCTAGAATCTAATCCCGATGCCACATGGCACAATCCAGGGCCTTTCCATATGCGCCTATATTACTTGCCCCCCACTCTTGAGGCCGTAGTGGTCGAGGTCGACTGGTGTATTGAACGGAGACATTCGCTTCGACTGAAGAGAGTATTACAATGCTTCTCGGATGGCGCATTGGGAAAAAGCCTTAGCTTGGTCGAAGAGAGCGTTATACAGAGGCGTGGAGGCATCGGCCACAGCTTGCTGAGAGCTCCACTTGGTCATCTTGTGGCAACTGTTTCCTTGTTGACTTTGCCTCTTTAGAGAATCATTGTGGGCCGAGAGTGCAGGACCATACCTGACATGGGTGTGAGGCATCCACGCCCGTTGGTCATGCCCTGAATGGGTGTCATCGTGGATCTGTGTGCGGGAGGGGCACCGATGTCGATCGAGCATGGCCATGTGCAAGACGGGTGATGGGTCGCCCGATTTGGGTCGCTCTTGACTTGGAGTCGGCAGGCAGATCTGCTAGTCTCTTCGGCGTCGCTTTGCATTCCTGAGGTCGATGCCACGTGGCAAGCGTCGGTTCGGGCTATTAGGTCGGCAGCTTTGCGGTCATTGGATTGAAGTGATCTGAGTCGTATTTCTTTAAATAGGGTCGTTGGTTGAGGCAACTCCATTCCATTTGCTTGCTTCTTATTGTATTTCAACAAATCTCAGCCACTAACCAGCCAATCCCTTAGTCTTCTTACTCAAACTCAGCTCTTTAGGTAAAGGACTTCTCTTGGAACCATGTCATACTCAGATTTTGGTCCTAAGTGTTACGATCTTCCTGACTTAACTAACACCAACGCTCCTTTTTCCACCTCGTCTAGTAGTGAGGATACTGGCAGTGAATCCGAGAACTCCCTCGGGCACCTAGAGTCCAGGTACTGAGGGAGAGAATCACCCCTGGAGGTGTCGAGTGTGACCGGCGGGGCAGGGAGTCTCCCAATGAAAGTACTGTCTTTACGAGGCCAAGGGAAGACATCATAGGGAATGCCTTAGCGCATCCTGAAGTGGTTGAGTCGAAGGAAGCTAAGGATCCGACTCCTGAGGAACTAGCCGAGACTGAAGGCCGAGGTGTGACGTTGATGTGTCATTCGCCCTTTGACCTAGTCAATGAGCTAAGTAAGGAGCAAGTGAAGGCTCTTGCTGAGATGTACCATATTCCCAGGGGTTATAGGATTAGAATCCCTAGCGTCAATGATAGGTCAAGGTGGCCAGCCGAGGGGGAGGAGTGTTTGCCCGAGCACTACCTCCACTTTGGCCTCCAATTCCCTATTTCTCTGCTTTTCTTTGAGTTCCTTAACTATTACAATATCTCCCTAAGTCAATTAGCTTCGAACGTCGTTAGGACCATTATAGTCGTGCTGGTGATGGCCTGCCTCTGAGGTGTGTACGTTACTGTGAACATCTTTCGAGGTATGTTCTCCTTGAGAAAGCATCCAGTTGGGGTAGGCTTGTGGTACTTCTAGGGCCGACGGGGAAGAGTAGTGGACAACCCGTTATTATTTGTCCACAACTAGAAGTAGTATTTCTTCGTGTCTTGTCCGGAGGTATGGCCCTTTCGATCTGACTGAGGGAGGCTAGATATCTTGGCCGAGAAGATAAGGCCATATAATAATGATGAGGAGTCGGACGTGATGACCCGGATTCGGTTTACGGGGACAATTCGCACCTAGCCCTTGGTAGAGGAGGAAGCTTTGGTGTGGGCTGGTCTCAGCCCCGCCCGCCTCGATATGGGCACTCTTGTCGTTGGCTATTTACGTTGTCTTCCTTCTTCATTTTGTCACTATTGTAACATGTTTCATGTTGTACTTCAAAGATGGATGGTGGCATCAAGGAGCGCATCATGCAGATGGCGAAGTCCACCAAGAGAGACTCGGGCGAGAGGCCATCGAAAAGGCCCGCCCCAAAGGAATCGCCTCGGAAAAAGGCTCCCGCTAAGGTCGAGAGGAGAAGGGAGGCTACACCCAAGAGACCTATTGAGGTCCCCGAACTTCCGAGGGGGAAGCGGTTGGTGGTGAAAGACCACTAAGCCCAGGGCATTGCTAGGGCCTCTCAGTAGTCCGAGCCCTACTCTTCTAACCTCTGCAACATGTCATTAGCGGCTCGTAAAATCTTCCACCCTAGCTAGAGTGTCCAGGAGGGCAACACCCATAGCACCCTGAGGGTCAGCCGAGCTCTAGTGACCAGGATACTCCCGGTAGGAGATAGGTAGTCCTAAACCCAAGTGACCATCCAAGTGGCAAAGGACACCTTGCTGGATCGGCTGGCTGAGGTAAAGCTTCTTCTCTTTATACTTAGTCAATTTGTTCTTTGCTTTGCTTTTTCAACTGACGATCACTTGTTCTTTGCAAACGTCTTCCACTACTGTCAGCCTATGCGACAAAGTGGAGGTCCTTCTTCAACAGCTTAGGACCTCCCAAGAGAAGATCGACCAACTGAAGCATCAGATGGTCGAGGCGCAGACCCCCACTGAGAGGTATTTGTTATGGCGGCTCATGAGGAGTGTGACCGTCAGAATGAGCTGGAGACCGAAGTCTCGATGAAGAGGGAGCAGCTAAGGGTTGCTCGAGCTTCCTTGAACGAGTTCAAGAAGAAGCTTAAGGAGGCCGAGAGGAAAGAATAGGAGGCCTCAACTCGAGCCGTCGAGGAATGGAAGACCACCGAGGCCTATAAGGACGAGATGGCCAAATTCGGTGTCACTTCATACTTGGAGGGCATCAAAGACACAAAGGCCAAAGTGCTAGCGCTTCAGCCAGATTTTGACGTCAGCCTATTGGGGATCCCATCTATGAATGACCTGGCGACCGAGGCGGTGGGCCAGCCGAGGCGATGCAGCCATCCAAAGGCTATGTCAAACACATGCAACCTGAGCTAGCTGACAAGCACATGGAAACATTTTTTTCTATCCTCCCAGTACAGCTCTAAGTTCTTTTTGCTTGTTGATTTTTTGTTAGGAAACCGGCCTCCCCCATCCGAGGTCGATTTTTTGTAAAGCATAGTGCAAAGGATTTAATGAAATGAATTAATGAAAATAGTCTAAGTTTTTAGCAAACTTTGTGCCTTGCCTTCTCTCTTCCTTTTTTTCTTTTTTCTTTGTTTTTTCTTTCTTGCTGTGCCAGGGGCTGATGCCCCCCATTCAATAGGACACAAGTTGCAAAAAAGGTTGCCATCTTTTACTTAGCTACTTGCTTAGGACTTCAGGTTAAGGAAGTTAGGCTAAGGCTGAGCTTCGCCACCGAGGACTCGGGGCCTCTTTCTTTAGCGAGAAGGAAAGGGAGGTGATTGCTCTACCCCACCTGCCTTAGCCTTCCTTAGGGACTTAGCAAATGGACTCAAACACAGTCGGGGTCTAATAAGTGGTGCCCAGCCGAGGTTGCGGAGTGCCTTTGCCTTAGTGAAGTAGCGTTGCTCATTTTAGCATGTTTGTTTGCCTTAGTTTGTATTAGGTAGTGGACCGGTGTCGTGGGTCAATACTGTGGTGAGGTGTCAAAAGTTCTTTGCCTTAGCTAAAAGCCGAGTAGGCCTACGACTCTTCAAGAGTTGTGTGCCTTGGTCGTCATCCAGTCTGAGCGTATAACCTTGGTGAAGGTTGTGTGCTACAGCTAGTTGTGTGGCCGAGGGGTCTTGGCAATCAGATGGAGTAAGAACGTTTACACTAAAGATTTGAGTCGAGGTGGGAGGAACTTTGCACATTTCATTGGTAAAGCTTTCATAAATGAGATTACATCATTGGTAGTACATTTAGAGGTTCTTGAAGTTCCATGTACGAGGTACCAGTCTTCCACTCAAGTACTCCACCTACCTGATTCTATAGGGTCCTCCCCAGTTAGGGCCAAGTTTTCCAATGCCAAGCTCGAGCACCATGACTTTTCTAAGGACAAGGTCACCTTCTTGAAAGTAGCGCTCTCTCACTTGGGAGTTGTAGTATTTGGCAACCCT